ACTTGCAGAGCTGTAGGGCGCGCGACACTTCCATCACGTGACAGTCGACGCCGTTTATGGACAGCAATCGGTCGCCGCGCTGCAGATCCGCGGAGTCGGCGCACTCGTCGTGCACTTCACTCACGAATAGTCGCGAAGAACACTCGTATCCTCCGACGAGCGCGAAGGGAAGGGCGGCCGCGCGCTCGGACCGCGTGATCGTCACGTGACGCTCGCGAGACTTGGAGGAGAGCGTGAAGTAGAAGAGCTTTTTGTGGGTTTTGGAGTGAAGCGCGCCCTCGAGAGCGCGCAACAATTGGCGGTCGAAGTCCTGGAAGTGATTTGAGATCCAGAAGAGCGCGATTTTCAAACTCCGGTCGACCGCGCGCTCCAAAGCGAGATTGTCTGCGAGACGCGCGAGCAGTTCGGCCACGCATTCCGAGGAGAAGAAGAGGCGGAAAGTGAGCAGAAAGTCGGCGACAAACGTGTCGTCTTCTGTCGTCTTGGCGTCGCCGCTGTTGTCGTCGAACAGCAGTTCCAACAATCGCTCTTTGGTCGCGCGCACCAACTCATTGGTGGCGGAGTTGCGCATCTCGAGCACCAGTTCGTTGTTGTCGTCGAAAAGCGTGCGAAACGTCTTTTGGCCGCAAATGTCGTCGAAAACCACGTGCGGAACGCAGAGCACCCAAACGAAGTCCTCATTCGTGTAGATCTCGCCGAACACCACTCTGTCGTCCAGAGAGGCGCCGAACTCGTCGCCAACCGACAGGAATCGCACTTTGGGTTCGACGACAGCGGGCGACGACACGACAACGGGAGAGACGACACCGCAGTCGCCGTCCACGCAATCGACGCACGAGTCGTCGCCGTCCGTCGTGTGCGACAACTCGTGACAACCGGTGACGACGTGTCGCAGCGAACCGCACGCGACAACACAGTAGGCGTCGAGACGCTCGCCGTGAGTGAGGACTCGAGTGTCGCGCGACTCGATTTCCGCCAAAACCATGTGTTTGGCGAGCAGTCGGCGCGTGTGATAGTCCTTGTCGTTGAGCGTCGACCGCGTGTCGCCTGTCGTCGCCTTCTGTCGCGCGATGAGCGCCAGGAAGTCGTGAATGAGATCCAAGTCATCGTCCGAACGGTTGTGAGAGTCGCGGATCAAAGCGTTTCGGATGCGATGGAAGGAGTGCTCTCTCGCGGCAACACTCGCGTCGTCCTCGCCGTCGTCCGCGTCGTCGCAGCGGTCGTCCACAAGACTCTCCTCGAGGCCTACGGCGGGAGAGGGAGTGAGAGGCGAACTCCAACTCAACAGACTTACCGTCGAAGTCGAAGACTCGGGAATTAGTGGACGACTGGAGAGACGTCTGACTGACGGAAGAGTTCATGGAATTCACGGAAAGAGAGTTTCGGAGAAACTCTTGAGAAGAACTCATGTCTCGAGACGTGAATTGTTTTTATCTCTCATTTCTTTCGCGTCATTTCAGTCATGCGCACAACGCGTGCACTCGACGAGCGGCACAAATTACGTCGCGATCCCAATCCCATCACAATTCGCGGCAATTATTTGAAACGAGAGACAAAACTGCGTTTATTTGCGTTCATTCGGCCGTCGAGTCGGCCGAAGACGTCTTTAAATTTTATTCTAATTTCTGCCGAAAAGCGCGTTTTCGTCGTCTTCGCGACGCCTCTGTCGTCGTCGTGTCGTCGTCGCCGTCTTCGGTCGCACTGTCGCCGCCTTTCGCTGTCTTCGCTTCGCCTTTCGTCGTGTCGTCGCCGGCTGTCGTACTGTCACTGCCTTCGGTTGTCGTCGCGTCGCCGCCGCCGCCGCCGCCACCACCAGATGGCGCGTTGTCGCCGTTTTCTATTGTCTTCGCCAACTCCTTCTCGACGGCCTTCGAGTCGACGGAAGACGCCTTCAGCGCCGCCAACAACTGCTTCGACGCAAACACCTCTTTCTGGCGGTCGGGCGGCAAAAGGCGCGCACTTTCCCAAAGAGTCCAAAGAAGGCTTTCGTTGGACTTCGCGTTCGAAGGAATCACGAAAACCGTCGACTCATGACTTCCGGCGCTCTGAAGAATGGGAACGCCGTTCACAAACACGCGCTGATCGGCGGGAAACCACTCGAAGTGTTGGTCCGAAAGGCGCGCAAAGACTACACGAAAGACACAATCATTGCTTCGAACGAGTGTTTGGAAGGCTTTTACCGGAAATGGAGACCAAAGCGAAGGAAAAGAGCGAAAAGAAGACAAAATTTTTCATTTTATTTGTGATTGAAATTCAATACAACTGTTTGTGACGTCATTTCCGACGACAAGAGATTCCGACGCACAGAAAGTCACGTGACTTCGTGATCACAATGTCTTCCAAAGAGTTTTCATCGAACTTCCGGTCATTGCAGTCATTGAGACGTCTTTCCGGTCGAAGGAATGGAGGAAAGGGTGGCGGAGGGGGTGGGGGCGGGAGGAACGGGAGGGCGCGAGGTTGGAGCGCGTGGACGGGCGGCGCCCACTCCAGAGGCGGCGGCGGAGGCGGCGTTTCGAAGACCGGAAGCGTCTTTGGTTTGACACAAAGCGAGTCTTTATTTCCGTTCAAAACAATGTCTTCTAAAGTGTTTTCTCCGTATTTTTCGACGCATTTAATGCGCGAAAAGACGTCGAGTCCGTCGCAGGGCCGGCGCCACACTTGCGGTCGACACTCGGAGTCTGTTTTGCGGACAAAAGCGTGAGAAAAGCGGACGAAAAGCGCGAATACATTACTCAGGATTTGGAGAAAAATCAGCGAAAAAGCGATTCTTTTCGACATTTAATCCCAAAATGACGTCATTTTGTAAATAAAATAGTAATTAAAACTTCAAAAGTGACGAAACGATCGGAAATTAATTTTATTCAAAACAAAACTAATTTCTGGCGAAAAGCGCGCGCTTTCGTCGTCTTCGCGACGCTTCTGTCGTCGTGTCGTCGTCGCCGGCGGTCGTCGAGTCTCCGGCGGCTGTCGTACTGTCGCCGCCTTCTGTCGTCTTCGCGTCGCCGCCGCCGCCACTCGAGTTCTCCATGGCTTTGGCCGAACACTTGGGAACGCCGTCGACGGCCACTGAAAGGGAGAAAAGGCGATCAGAAGACAGAGAGAGCGGAAGGGAAGGAGAGATACTGACGGACGGGATCGTCGGCCATCACGATATACGTGTCTTCCGAGAACGGGATCTTCGAGTACGGAATCATCTCTTCGATCGTCCGCTTGAAGAGAGGGTTCGGGAAGACGCGGACGGGCGGACGCGGGACTCGGCGTTTGCGCGTCGGGCGCAGCATTCGCGGGCGCGGCGGACCCACTGTCTGCGTCTGCGCGCCGCCCATGTCCTCGTCCGCCGTTCCCGCCTCTCCGGGCGACAGTTGTCGTCCTTCGCTGTCGTCGTCCGCCTCTCGGATGCAGTCGTCGTCGTCTCGCAACGAGAACTTGATTTTCGGCATAAGAATAGCGCCGCGAACGACGTCATGGAAGACGTCATACGACTGTTGGTCGCGAATGTCCTCCAAATCGGGCGAAACGTAAATGGCTTTCGGCGGCGCCTTCTTCACGAGCGTCGGCGCCGACAACGAGTTCGGCGACGCCTGGAGCTCCTCGTAGTCCGAAGACTGACTTCCATCGAAGGTCGCGAGGGCTGCGGAGGAGAAAAAGATTTTCAAGACTTCGAAAAGACGGCGAAAACTGACCGAAAGTGAAGACAAGAGAAAAGACGACAAAAACTGTTTTTATTCGCATTTTATTCACAGATGTTTCAAATGTTTGCTTCTGACGGAAAAAACCCCAAAAACCCCAAAAGCGTTGTCCAATGGACGTCACTTCGGGCGACAAGTCGTCGTCTTTGGACCGCAATCGGGAACCACGAGAACGAGCGGGTCGTCCACTATAACCACGTGAATGTCCGACAAATCGGCCAAATTCTCGTCCGCCATCAAGTGCTCGGGATTCGGCGCGCAGTTGTCCGCCACCGGCACCC